AGCCCGGGAGCCGAGCGCAGCCCGGAGCTCGCCCAGGGGCGGGGAGGGCCCGGCAGGTAGGCTCGCCCCGCGGAGACTGGTCACTAATCGGGGTGCGCTGTGCGGAGCGCAGTTACCGCCCCGGCGTTGGGCCTGGTGGGGGCGGCGAGTCCTTGCGGGCCCGGCCCCTGCAAAGGGGAAACGCGTCCGGCCCTGCGGGGACCCGGGGCTCCAGTCCCGCGTGTGTTAAAAGTCGCTGAACAGAGATTTCCTCGTCGGATAGAAAAGAAAACCGGTTGATCTGGGGGGTGGCAGAGCAGCTCCGTGTGAACAGCCGCTGGGAGGGGAGGGGGGTAAATCTGTACCTCCTAGGATTGGCAGGGAGCTCCGGGCTATGTCTACACTGCAGGGTTATTTGGGGATACCCGAGGGAGCCTGAAATGGCGATCTCGCCTCTTCCCAGCAAGCTGGTTATTTCGAAATGTTCCGGGCTCGTTCTTCTGACGCCCCTGTAAACCTCACTCCACGAGGCGTAAGTGGCGTTTTGCAACCCGGGGGTATTTCGAAATGTGGCGCTGCAGGGACAGTGCCAAAGTACAAGATAATCGATTCTGAAATAAGATACGCGCGTTGCCTAGCTCCAATTGCAAATCTTATTTCGAGCCATGGTGCAGTGTAGACCCATCTCCAGAGATCATCCTGCACTCGAAGCAGGCCTTAGCAGTCTCTATCTACAGCAGAGTTTCTTAAACTTTTGAAGACGTTGGAACACCAAAGGATATTTTTTTTAAATGCAGAACATGGAGGATTTTTTGCTGAGGAAAAACAAACAAACCAAAAACCCTGCCTCTGAACACAGTTTCAGAAACACTGGGCAAGCTCCCAGCAGAGTGTGGGTGGGGCTGTCAGGCAGTTTGGGAAGAAAAAGCCTTCCCACCTAGGCTACCAGATGTCCATGATCTTAGTGTTGAATGGGGACAGACTGGAACAGGATCTGACCCTCTCAAAATTGATTTCTGCCCTACTTGGCGTTGCTCCTCAGAGCCATCTGGTAATTAGGGTTGCCAGATGGCTTAGCCAAAAATACCAAAACTCCTCACCCCCCCAAAAAAATTCTGTTGGCTAACATATTTGCTATGTGTGGGGGGTCCGTTTCCTGGGATCAGGAGGTGGCTTTGGAGCGATGCTGGGAGATCTTCATGGGGTGTCGGGCTTGATCAGATGTAGAGTTCGGGAAGTTATCGAGTCAGGCAGAAGAGAAATGTGCAGCGCCTGGTTTGGTTTGTCTCGTAATGCGTCATGTTCATCATTTTCCATTGTCTCTGTGTGCAGGTTGTCTGAAATCACTGGGAGTGTGCTACACTCAAGACATTGCTGCTGTTGCTGTCTTATCCTTCCCTCCTGCCCTGTGGTCCGGATCCAGTTCCAGTGAGATGGAAGTTCTGTCCCTCGGCCGCAGCTCCGGAGCCGGCTCCTTGCTTCACGCATTGATCATTTTCTTCCAAGCACTGCGTGTCCCCGGGCTGGACTCAGGTAGGAATGTCCGTAGCTTCTGCTGCTGCTTACAGGATTGATTGATTGGTTTGATTTCAGCCATTGCCCTGTTTACCTGTTTATAGAATGGTAAACTGAAATTGGCACAGACTTTCCAGTGTCTGAACATCAGTTAAAAAAATAAATGAAAGGTTATGGGTGGAGTGAAATCTTGTAGACGCCCCTAACACAAAGCCAGCCCGAGCGTGGGCAGAGGTGGGTGTTATATAGCTGTATTGCTACCGTAGTGCCACTGTGAAATCTCCAGAGGCTGCTCAGGATGTCCGCAGATAACTGGTTAGCATCTTCCCACATGGTGCTTGCTGGGTACTGATTAACCCGTGGCCTGGCTGGGCCCACCCCACTGTGGGAAGGGGCGTTCCAGCCTGGCTCACTGGCTCCTCCCAAACACCAGCTTTGCTCCCCATAATGGGGAGAGGGGCAGGCATCTCTGTGGATCCCCTTCACATGGGCAGCTGGTTTAAAACCCCTCCCCCCCCTCCCCCCACTGCCTCTGACCACAGCGGCAGCATGGAAATGTGGCTGTCCTAACGAGCGGCAATAGCTAGGCCAGGTGAGCGTCTCCTGTCAACACAGCCCTGTCCGCACTGGTGGTTTTATTGGTGAAACTTACGCTGGCCAGAGAGGTGGGTTTTTCACATCCCCGAACGACAAAAGTTTGTGGCACAGAAGTGCGCGTGTAGAAAGTGCCGACTGTGCTGGGGTGGGAGGAGGTGGCAAATTCAGGGAGCAGCTTTCCCAGAGGTGTTGCAAACAGGCGAGTGTCAGAGTCTGAGAGCCAAGAGGACGGAAACAGAACTGCAAGGGGACCAGACCAGAGAGAGCGGCAGAGACACAAAAGCAAAGAAGCCAAACAAACCTGTGAGCACAGGGTGACTGGGAACAGCTACAGAGGGAACATCGAGTCTGTTGTCTAGAAAAGGGTGGGGCTGGTCGCTACAAAACTGCTCCTTTTGCTTTTGGGTCCTTCTGCATTTGGAGAAGCAGGACTCAGTATATTCCATGTGAATAAAAAAGATTTCAGCAAAGAGTGTAGCAGCCTCTGCTCATTTCTGCTTCCAGCAAGCCCCAAAATGGGACTAGCTGCTGAGACTGAAATGGGGATCACACAGCAAAATGTCTCCTCTGCCCTTCAGGATCCAAAACTATGGACCTACTGCACCTCATCAATCCCTTTCTTCATGTGGCATTCTCTAAATGGGCCCTTTTCTTCTCGAAATCCTAACCGGCTTGAAAAATGTGAACTCCTGGAGGGAAAGATTTCAGCCTATGCTGATAGGAATATTGAGCAGACGTTTAACTTTCTGAAGAAAGATTCTTTCCTGACTGGTACCCTACTTTATATATTTTATATCATTCAAAAAACTTTTTAAAAACTCCTTTCATTTGCTAGTGCAAGGGCATTCGGTCTAGAGTGGCTGATAAGGAAAACGGCAGACTGTATTTCAGCTTCCATTAAAACTAATATCAATTATGGTTTTCCCAGTGCATTGTGTATTGTAAACTGTGTATGTTGGTTCAGGACACATTCTGGTGAATGTCAGAGCGCTGCAAAAGAGGCACAGAATAGAAAATACACCCAAGGTACCTGAATTTAGGGGTGTCATTGATTTAAAGGGAATATGACGCACTTACTTTGTTTTCTTTGTGCCTTTCACAGCTCGGTTCACAGTGGTTGGGCCTGGTCACCCTGTCACAGCCGTGGTGGGGGAGGAGATCGTGTTACCCTGTCGCCTGTTCCCCAGAATGAGCGCTGAGAACATGGAGGTCAGATGGTTCCGCTCTGAGTTCACGTCTTTCGTGCACCTGTACCGGCGTGGGAAGGATGAGTTTGGGCAGCAGATGCCCGAGTATCACGGCAGGACTGAGCTTTTGAAAGCCAGCCTCACGGACGGGAATGTGGCCTTGAAGATTGTGAATGTCAGGCGTTCCGATGAAGGACAGTACCGCTGTTCTGTTCAGGATGGGGTCTTTCATGTAGAAGCTGAACTGGAACTGAAGATCACAGGTCAGTAATGTGGGTCTGTCATCTCTTTTTAGCGGGCTCGTAGTCCCAGATCCCAGAGCTACTCAAGTACCTATCTCCCCGCATCAAGCACTTACCAATTAAGTGCCCATGAGACCCTCAAAATAGTCATTAAACAACCACTGGGCTAGTGAGACAGAGAATGGTTCTGGTAGCCCAGTGCTTATGGCTGTCACATGCTAGAAGGAGATCTGTGATCTAGTCCTCCAGATTTCTCCAGAGAGAGCCCCACACCAGACCCAGGAGCAGTGGGAGATGGCTGTTGAGACCATGTCTCCCCAACAGGCAGAGGGGGGAAGACGAACCAGGGTCTCCCACATCTTCAGCAAGGGCTGGAAACACTGGGATGAAAGTCACATGAAAGTTCCCAGCACCAGGTTTGTCAGCCAAAGGAGCTTCTGACTCCTGCAGTGCCAGGCTGCGGATCACAAGTGGAGATAAGAGCTTTGACCCAGCTCTGAAATCAAGGGGAGGGGGATAGGATGTGCCCCTCTGTCACGTTACCGAATTTGAGGGAAGCAGGCAGATCATAGCTGCACCCATAGGTGGGGATGCTGGCCCAAAAATGGTATAAAAGTCATACACTTTGTTAATTGGCCTTTCTTTTAGTAACCTTTCTTTTTTCTCCACTAACATTTAAAAATATCTGTATGTTTGTGAATAACTTGGGCGCCATGGTCACACACGTCCGAACAAGTGCACATGACCTCAGTATTGGTGCTCAAGACAAAACTCGCCCCCCTTATGGATGGAAAATGTTAGAGGAGCTTCCCCCTGCTTTGCTGTTTTTGGGGACTCATTTAAGTAAATGTTGAAAATGGTTAAGGGGGCGCAAGTGCACAGGAGGGGCCAGGGCAGGAGAGCACAGAGGATGCCAGGGTGGAGCTCCCCTACTCATAGGCTACCGCCTCCTGGCTCTACCTGCTAGTCCCTGCTGCTGCAGCTCTGCTCCACTCCCTTAAAAATCAATTAAATCTGTGAGCTCAAAACCTATAAAGCATAGAAATTGAGGGAGAAATCTCTTGTGTTCCTTGCCCCCTTTATGTCCTCTCCAAAGAGGTTAATCACAACTGGCTCCCCTGTTCTGGAGAGCTTTCACTTCCCTCTCTGAGGCCCCCGGACTGAAACACTGTTACACAACTGCTTTACAAGTGCTTACGTCTTGTGACCGAGCACTCCAACCAGAATGTATCCTGTAAGAAATGCACACTTCAGCCTAGAAAAGGATCCCTCAGCTTTTTATATGTCAGGTCACTGACCACCCAACCCAAAAGCTGCCATCCCAAACAGGGGAGAGGGAAAGAAAAAAAAGTCAGGTTTGCTAAATAACACAAAATTTAAAATACTTCCTCACGGGAAAACTTCTTTTAGATAAAGTTGAGAGCACAGTTTATACATTCCAGAGATATTGTAACTATCCCAGAAAAAAAGCAGTTTGAACCTGGGAAAAGAATTAAGGTTACATTAAAAAGAAATCCGAAAGAATTACTGTCCACAAATGCCCCACAGATAGAATTATAATGAAAACATAGTGGTTGGGTTTTTAAGCCCTATTAAAGATGAAAGTGGAATTTTATTTCTATTTTTTAATACAGTAAAACCTGTGTTATCTGGCATGCTCGGGGATAAGGGTGTTCTGGTTATCTAAAAGTTCTGGTTCTCTGAAGGTCCCACCAACCTAGGAAAAAACAATGGACAATAATAGTAAAACTCAGGTTTTTAATATTGGTAGTTTTGTAGCATGAGGCAGTTGGTCTCACATTTCTAGTTTGAGTTAAAGAGGATTAGTACTTCTTAAATAAAAAAAATAAGCCAATCAAGTCAGGCCTGAAAATGTGACAGTATTGTGGCTGGGGGCGATGGCAGTTAACAAAGTTTTCTGGTTAACAGAGTGCCGGATAACAAAGGTTTCACTATATATGTTTAAACTGAAATTAGATTTCTTGTTCTCATGTACTCCCTACAAGGCAGGGCCAAGTTACCTACTGGTTGGTTTCTGAAAGGTTTTGTTTTTTTAAATCTCAGGGAGCAATTTTTCCCTTCTGTGTTTCATGGCAGTTTTTGATGTTGCGCACATGCATAGTAAAAAGTATAGTTTTATTTCAAACGCTAGTATAGTTTGAAATAACAAACGTGATCTGTTTTCCTGGAATATAATTCTAGTTTGTTATTGCAAATGAAAGAATGCCATTTGTTATTTCCAGCCTAACAGGGGCTTTGTGTTTCAGATGTCTCTTCCCCGGGAGCAGTTCCCTGGATTGTTGTTTGGATTGTGACTCTGGTGATTTTGTTGGTGTTCATCGGCCTGACCCTTTTTCTTCTCAAATTAAGAGGTAAAACTCTAAAGGGGGGAAGGCAGTGTGATCGGAACTGGGTATTACCCTTATGAAACGACAGCTGAGACATTTTTTTGTAGTCGAAACACAGCCATAGACGAGATGGAAAAAGAGACGCAAATTATGAACTACAATTTTCTTATCTTTTTCCACTTTTCTTCTGAAAGAAGCTTTTCTGACATTTGGTCCATATACACGGGGCCAAATGTTGCGGGGAGGAGGGGGAGAATCCTCTTTTGGAACATCCCTTCCTCATAGAACAAGGTTTACAGGGAAACCGGAAAAACGCATCTGCTTTTCCAGTTTATTCAGTGTTAAGTAGTGGCATTATCATTCCCACTCGCTGGTTAGGCTGGCATTACACAGGGACACTTATTGTAGCAAACACAAATGAAAATTGTTTTCAATAAAATTCATAAATGAAAATTCTATTCTGATAGTTCAGGTTGTAATGGAATTCTCTCATGGAACCCAGAAAACCATTTGGAGTTGTAATGGAATTCTCTCATGGAACCCTGGGGTTCCACAGAAAACCATTTGGGAAACATAGGTCTAGATGTACCCTAAGTGAGAAAGTTACAACAGCTTAAGTTCTGAATTTAAATTGATTTTTGTGAAACGAATCCAAACTTATGTATGAACACATCCATTTAGGTGGAGTTTATTTTAGTTTTGTTTAAACATGTTTCTCTTCGTCTTAAAATTAAGTCTAAAACTAAGTTTGTACTAGTTTAATTAGGCTGAAAATGGAGCCCAAGGGAGTCAAGTTCCCAACTGTTACTGAAAATCGATGTACTTAGGGCTCGTAACTACCCTTGGCCCCTATGAAAACTCCTGTCTCAGAATGGGTGAGATTTAATTCTAGTGTGTTCAAAAGATGATTGCAGCACTCATGGATAGCGTATTATTGTTGAGGTGTTTGGCAGGCTACTTCTGTGGGGTGCCACTGTGCAGAGACTTCCTAGTTTTTCTGTTTTATTTTTTATTTTAGTGTGGGAGCAAATGTTCAGTCTTGGGGCCGGCAGGCTGCACTCCTGTTAGTTTGGAGTCTGCAGTTCCAGGAGGAGGGAACTGAGCAGGAAACAGCAGAGTTTGCTCAATGTCTTGGTCTCAGGTTAGAGACAATTCCTCCGGCGTCAGTTATTATCTAGGAAGTAAGTGTCCTGGATCCACAGAAGCGGAGTTCTTCCCTCGCTTTCAATCAAGCTCTTCATCCCCTGGAGTTTGCCCCACTTCCAGGGGGTGCCTCTTCCTTCAGAGAAGGCCTCACAGCCTCACCCTTCCTTCAATGAACATGGGGGAACCAGCCCGCCTGTTTTCACTAGGGCTGTTAGCGTATAGAACAGACATTTAAACAATTAATTGATAAGCCTGGGTGTATCAGTTAATCCGAACGACTCCCCCCCCACCTCTACATCCCTGTACATGCCAATTCTTGTAGAGCTGCCTGCTGCTTCCCACAGAGGCATCGGCATCTTGGGGGGGGAGTGGGGAGGCAAGAGCTGGTGCTCAGGAGCCGGCTCCCCGTGAGCTCTGGATCCTGCAGAACCACCTTCTCTGCTCTTCCCCCCCACCTCCCTGCAATGCTGCCTCTGCATCTGAGGCAGCAGGATGGAGTGGCAGGCAGAGCCAGTCCATGAAGAGAGTCAGAACCGGCAGGGGCTCCCCAGGAGTGGGGCGGGGAGCACAGTGGCTGCTGGCCCCTCCCCCAGGGACAATTTTAGTAACCACGTAACAGTTTAAAATTGCCGCAGCCACATGATTACTAAAACCCACAAAATTGAACACCCCTAGTTTTTACATAAAGAGCTCTCCCCGATGAGTCCCCACTGAGCGAGTCTCCTGAATAGAGACCTGTATGTTCTTAGGGACAAATTCATCCCAGCAACGGTTTGCTGTGACACCAAACAGCCCTTTCAAACCAGAGTAGAATTTATTAGCCACATGGAGTTCCTTAGGAACCAAGCCTTGGAGTTGGGGGAAGTGCCTGTTGAAGGGTTTGCCTCCTTGGAAGGGCTTGCTGTGTGCTGTTTGTGACCATCGCTGTTCTAGGGCGGTCTCTGTGTGTTAACACATCAAATTATACTTACAGTGCCCCCAGACTCCGCCACTTATTTCTCTCCCACTGGGAACCCAGTCTGCTCCCAGCATGCCCTGTAAGCGCTTGGTCGTTCACCCAGAAGAGATTGAAATGCCGCCTGGCTGATTAGCAGAGCGCCCGCTGACGGCAGCATGTTTCTGCTGGTGGTGCACATCTGCACATGCCTTGGTGCACATCATAAAATGTTTTCTTCACATTGGAAAAATGTGAGCAAGCATTGCCTGCAAGTCCTGGAGTAAGTGCAATGGCTTGGTGGAAGGGCAGTATGGTTATTACACAAGGTTTCATCATGAAAAATTACTTTAAACCTAGATTGGTGGTGCACATCTGCACATGCCTTGGTGCACATAATAAAATGTTTTCTTCACATTGGAAAAATGTGAGCAAACATTGCCTGCAAGTCCTGGAGTAACTGCAATGGCTTGGTAGAAGGGCAGTATGGTTATTACACAAAGTCTCATCATGAAAAAATTACTTTAAACCTAGAACCACTGAAAAAGTCCTGACCTGTCTGTTGTTTTCTTTTCCAGGGAAATATCTTCACCTGATCAGTAAGTTCCTTTTGTCTCCTGGTAGAGCCAATATGATGTTGTGAAAGATTTCTGAATGGATGCGACCACATCCGCTGGGAACTCATGAGTATACTGCCCGTGCTGATTGCATGTCATGTTATGCAATTAAGGGTAGGATGCCAGCACTGGCCATGTGTTTCCAATGAGGTAGCCTGGATGGTTGCCAGAAGATTTCTGGGCTCCTTCCGCCTTTCCTTGTAAATCTGCAGCAGATCAGACCACTCGTGCAGCCACACCGTGGTGGAGTTACCTTGTGCCCAGTCCCTAGGGGTGAACGGATGTTAAACACTGCCCGGCATTGCCCAAAATGATCAGTGATTGGGGGGCAGACAGAGGTTAATTCACCCAGGAGAAGCTTTTACAGGATGCCCTTTTGTTTTTCATTCAGGTAAACTTCTAAGAGAGCTAGGTAAGGATATTTTTTGTTTCGTGGGGTTTTTTTGGACTGCAGCTTTTTCTGTTGTTCTGACTCTTACAGATTCTGCATTTTGTCCGGTTTAATTCTTCTCCTTGTCTGTTTCTTTGCTTTCAGAATGGAGGCGATGCCTAATTGACGCAGGTAATGACAGTGTGAGCTTAACCAATGGGAAACCCTGCTCCCTTTCACCGTGTAAAAGCTAAGGAGATATGTGTGTAGAATATTTTCCTGGGTCAGGGATCAGAGGCTTTGGAGGTTCCCAAAGGAGAGAGGAAAGGTCCAACGCAACACGCCTGCCTTACATGCCGCTCCCACAATTCGGGAAATATCCCTGCTCGGAGTCACTGGGCAGTTAATGCTTCTTAGGATCCATCCTAGTCCTAGTGTCAGGTAGAGGACCAGCAGTTGGCTTACGTATAGACTACAGGCTTCTTTCAGAAGAAGCTTTTCCGGAAAAGAGTTTCCAAAATAACTTCTTCTGAAAGAGATCATCTACACAGCAAAAACATAAAAAAAGGTGATCTGCTTTTTTGAAAGATAGTGTCCACACTGAATGGATGCTCTCTTGCATTTCAGCTGTGATTACTGAGTGAAGTGGCCACCAGGGCACTTGTGCTTTTTCCTCTTTCCTCTTCTTTTGAAAACTCTCTTCCCTGTTGACACACACCTTTATCCGAAAGAGTTCTTCCTTGTAGAAAGAGGTTTACCAGTGTCAGAAAAGTCCCCCAGTTCTTTGTTTTTTTTTGAAAATGAGATTGTAGTGTGGATGTAAGTGAAGCTCTTTCAGAAAAACATGTTTTTGAAAACTCTGTAGTGTAGACATAACCTAGGGATCACGCTCACTAGAATTCAGGGTCTGCTCTGCTGCTTTTGCTTTCTTCCTCTCCATAAAATCCCAGGTTTGTTCTGCTTTTCAACCATCGTTCTGCTTTCTCCTCCATGAATTCTCCAAACCCTCTTTCTCCTCTCGCCTCTGTTCTCATCTCTTCTACTGGCTCTTTGCTTCACAATCAAAATCCCAATGTGAAAGCTGCAGTCTGCACTAATAAACCTAGCTGGCAGCCCTGCTGACTTCCTGTACAGAACCTGAATGAAGCATAGATTAACTACTGAAATGTCTACAGAGCCCAGGCACATGGAAGGCTGCAGCAGGCGTAAACTGGAGCCAATCAAGTTCCAGAGTTTTAAATAAGAAGGGAGGGCACCACAGGGAAAATATATTTGTGATCATTTGACTGATGTAAGTAGAAATCCCCTGGGGCTGCCCCAGGATTCCAGCATCTCTGGTGTCCGGCAGGAGGAGGGCTGGACGTGTAACGCCAGGGCTCAAGGTTGGCTCTACAAATCTTGCTCTGTTCCTCACATGGAAAGTGACTCTCCACTTCACTGGGTTGAGGTCTCAGGGCTGCTCCCTGTTGGAAGCCGGGCAGCCCCTGGAGGCAGAAGATTCCCTGAGTCGCTGCCCAGCTGGGGCAGCTTCTGTCCCTGACACCATCGACCCCCCAGGGCCGAGCTCTGCCCCCACACTCTGATTCTCTCTCCAGACAACGTGACTCTGGATGAAGACACAGCGCATGTCCTGCTTAAACTGTCGGAGGATGGGAAATGTTTGCAATGGGGATACGATGTGCAGTCACGGCCTGACATCCCGGAGAGATTTGACGTTGACCCCTGTGTGCTTGGCAATGAGAGATTCACCTCGGGGAGACATTCCTGGGAGGTTGATGTGGGGAATGGGCATAACTGGGCTGTAGGGGTGGCCAAGGAGTCTGTAAGCAGGAAGGGAGGGATCAGTATGACCCCCGAGGGGGGGATCTGGGCTGTGCAGCGGTCCGGGAGTAATTGCTGGGCTCTCACTGACTACGTCACCCCCCTCCTCTTGTCCCAGATCCCCAGGAGGGTCCGGGTTTGTCTGGACTGTGACCGGGGGCAGGTGGTATTTACCAATGCTGATACTGAGAATCTAATCTATGTTTTCCCGCCAGGCTCCCTGCCCCAGGAGAGAATCCAACCCTGGCTGGGGGTATGGGACATGTGCCCACTCCGCCTGTGTCACTGACCTCAGCCTCTCTAGCCTCACAAACCCTCGTCTCTGTGACCCTGCAGGAAACCCCCTACCCAGCCCCTGGCTCCTCATCTCTGTTACCTGAAAGCTCCTCCCCCTCCTTCCCTGAAGCCGCTGGGAAGAAGGGGGAAGAACCCCTGGGGCTTACGGGGGAGCAGAGGGGCTGAGGTGGGGGTGCTGCTTATCTCTGTAGCCAATGGCAGGGTGCTTGGGCTGTGCTTCTGGCCAATGGCAGGGCAGGTTTGGTTAGTCTCAGTGCCTAGTGGCAGTGATATCACCTCTAATATCATTAGCTCACAGACATTTACCTTCCCCCCTCCATCCCCCTTCTGTTCTGACATTTGATTTGTCCTTTTCATATGTGTTCATTTTTTTAAATTGTATCCTTTGGTATATATGGTTGTGCCAATTTTCTTCCACTATTTGATCTGAGGAAGTGGGTCTGGCCCAGGAAAGCTCATCACCTAATAAACCATCTTGTTAGTCTTTAAAGTGCTACCTAGTCCTGTTCTTTGTTTTGGCTAGTGGCAGGGCAGCTTGGCCAAGCTAATGGCCCAGGGCAGGGCTCACACCTCTTGGCTGAGTAGCCAATGCTAGGGTGGCTCATCCAGGCTCATGGCCAATGGCAGGGCTCCCTCAGCTCCACAGCCAATGGCAGAGTGGGGCTGACTCAGTTCAACAGCCAATGGGAGAGTAGCTAAGCCAGCTTTGTGGCCAAAACATGATGATCACATTTGCATTTCCCTTGCCTGGAAATAGGGTCCTTTCAGGACGAAGGGGAGAGCCCAGCTTCTCCTCCGACCCCCCAGTCCCTTGCCTTCAAAGGGCGGCTGCATCAGGAAGCAACATCTGCCAGCGATGCCTCCTTTACAGTCAGGGAAGCATATGGGACCAGAGGGAAGGCCTCCCCCAGCACGAGGCACCTTCAGGAGGAAGGAGCATGATTAAATTGTTTGGTGGGCCAGAGATTCCCCAGCCTTGATCAAGCCCGTCCCTGAGAGCTCTCTGCCTAACTTGCTCTTAAGTTTGTCCAGTGATGGAAATTCCACAACCACCACAGGCAATTTATTCCAATGTTTAGCCACCCTGCCAGGAAGTTTTTCCTGATGTCTGATCTCAATTTCCTTTGCTACAATTTAAGCCCATTTCCCCACAGTCACAGCAATTAAAGGGCTTCTCACCCACGTGGGGTCTCTGATATTCAAAAACCTCTGAACCTTTTTCGTCACTCTGAGCAGTTGTAAGGTTTCTCTGCGGGGTGGGCTCTCCTGTGTCTAAGCAGGTGGACCCTCTGACTGAAACTTTTCCCACAGTCAGGGCAGCTGAAGGGCTTCTCTCCTGTGTGCGTTCTCTGATGAATAACAAGGCTTGAGACATGGCTGAAGGTTTTTCCGCAGTCAGAACAGTCAAAGGGTTTCTCCCCATGGCTTTTCTGGTGATTAATAAGATATGCGCGCACACTGAAGCCTTTCCCACAGTCAGCGCATGTGTAGGGTTTCTCCCCGGTGTGGTTTGCACGGTGATTCTTAAGACAGGAGCGCCGACTGAAGCTTTTCCCACAGTCGGCACAGCTGAAGGGCCTCTCCCCAGTGTGGATTCGCTGATGTTTAATCAGGTTGGCGCGCTGATTGAAGCCTTTCCCACAGTCAGCACAGCTGAAGGGTCTCTCCCCCGTATGGGTTCGCTGATGTCGAACAAGGTCGGAGCTCCAGCCAAAGGTTTTCCTGCAGGCAGGGCAGCTGAAGGGTTTCTCTGCGGTGTGGATTATCCGATGCTTACTGAGGTACGAGCGCCGACTGAAGCTTTTCCCGCACTCGGAGCAGCTGAAGGGCTTCTCGCCCGTGTGGGTTCTCTGATGATCAAGGAGACTGGAGCGCTGCTGGAAGCTTTTGCCACAGTCGGAGCAGTTGTAGGCCGTCTCGCTTGTATGTAGTGCCTGGTGGCCAATCAGGTGAGAGCGCCGACTGAAGCTTTTCCCACAGGCGGTACAGGGAAAGGGTTTCTCCCCGGTGTGGATCCGGAGATGACTGTTGAGACTTGAGCGATGACTGAAGCTTTTCCCACAGGCGGCGCAGGGGAAGGGTTTCTCCCCCGTGTGGATTCTGTGATGAACGTTGAGATAGGAGCGCTGACTGAAACTTTTCCCGCAGTCAAAGCAATAAAAAGGTTTCTCCATGGTGTGGATTCTGTGATGTCTAACAAGGTCTGACCTCTGGCTGAAGCTTTTCCCACACTCAGAACACTTGAAGGGTTTCTGGACTCGGTGGTTTCTCTGATGGTCAGTAACACCCGCTGGGCACTGTAGGCTTTTCCCACACTCGCAGCACTCACACACAGTCTCATTTGGATGCACTCCCTGCTGGGAGAGAAGCTTAGGCTTCTGACTGAAGTAACTCCTACAGTCAGACAACTGGAAGGGGTTCTCACCTGTGTGGATCCTTTGGTGTGAAATGAGGACCTGTCTACATTGGAAACTTTTCCCACAGTCGCTGCAAGTGTAGGGGATTTTCTGTGGAACGGTTTCTTTGTTTCTTTTCACCCCTCTTTTCCTGTGACTAGATTTCCCCTTTTGCTCCACCCCACGGTTTTCCTGCTGCCGTTCTGAGCTAGGCTGACTCTCACAGGTCTCTCCCTGCTCAGGACTCTGGGCAACAAACCCCTCAGATCTTCCCAGTAACATCCCATGTGGATCCACTTGCTCCAGTCCTGTCTGCTGAAGACTGTCCTCATTCTCCATCAGCATTCCATCACCTGCAGAGATAAAGACAGAAACCAGACAGGGGTCACTCTCTGTGCTGAACTGAAAGGAAACAGGAAAAGGGGGAGAAAACACCCAAAATCACTGCTATCCACTTCCCCCAGTTTCATGAAAATTGGCTTATGAAAATTAATTTTCATAGAGCTTATTTGGGTATGTCTACGCTGGCACCCTCTTTCAACAGAGGGATGCAAATGCAGACATCAGAGATTGTAAATGAAGCGGGGATTTAAATATCCCGTGTTTCATTTGCAGAGTCGCATTATGGCGCTATTTTGAAATAAAAAGGCTGTTTAGCGGTTATTTTGAAAGAAAACCCTTCTTCCAAAATAACTGTTAACCCTTATTCCTGATAAAATGAGGTTTATTTTGGAAGAAGGGTTTTCTTTTGAAATAACCGTATCTACACAACGTTTATTTTGAAACAGCGCAATTTTGAAATAGCGCCATAACGCGATTATGCAAATGAAGCATGAGAATCAAAATTGTATCTCACGCTTCATTTACAATTTCCAGTGTCTGCATTTGTATCCCTCTATCGAAAGAGGGTGCAAGTGTAGACATACATGTCCTGGTATACTGTCTCAAAGGGTAACATACCATTTTTACAGTTACAGCCTGCTGAATCTGTATGTGCTGTTTTTGTGCCTGTATCATTTTTGTATGCAAAGACAGACATATGAAGTGTACATTTGTTTCTAGTTCAAAATGTGCTAATGAGGGCTGTTAGTGACATGTCAAGAACTTAGCAACTCAGTACTAAAACCAACAACCAATGATAGTTCTATTTTTCCTGTGAGCCCAAACTGTGCTTGATCGGAGGAAGTCACATGGCCATGCCACCTGAAACTGAACTCCATCTTGAATCTAGTATTTTTCCATGAGGAGCATGAACTCAGAGTTCCCACCCTGGGGGAAGTGCATGTAAGGAAAGGAAAGCAATCAGGTCTCTCTCATCAGCTGGCTTAGACATAGCTTCATCCACCCTAAGAGGGTGCACACAAAGAAATCTGAAAACAAAGAACTCGGAGCAGCAGCAGACCTAAGTCCAGAATAAAGATCAGCTCTGTGACTTGAAGTATTTTACTTGAGATAAGAACTGTTATGGGTAAGAACTTGCAGGTAACAAGTTTCTTAGTGGATTAGAATTCGCGGGTGTACATTGCTGAAATTAGTCATTTACTTTGATCTACTCTCACTTAAATCCTACTTTGTCCTTAATGAAACCACTTTTGTTTCTTATCAAGCCCAGCCTAAGTAACTTAACTGGGGAGCAATTGCTGTCCACAGGAGTGACCTGAGGCTGGCTGCAGCAGCTGGTGACCCAGGCAGAAGGCGCGATCGGCGCCCCCACCTGCATGGCCGTCAATGGCTGTGACGTAATCATCGGGTGGCACCCTAGCCCACTGCCTAGTTTGCCTAGCCTCACAGGCTGCCCCTGGTTGTCCGTATTTAGCGTCAGTACATATCTTACGGCAGTACGTAGCATAACCAGGCTGGGGGGAAGGAGGAGTTGGGCACCACAGAAAAGACCCCACATCCTTCCTGAGGAAATCTCTGTTGAAAAGTTTGTCTGCGTGCCGTCATGGCTGAATCTGTCAGGACCCCATGGCAAGCCAACTCTGAAAATTCCCATCTGGCTGGCTAATGGTTGGAAGATAATATCCTGCCTGACCTTCCGAGTTGCTCACTCAAGTTTTCTTTGAATGATGGGTTATTGAAATACTAAGAAATAAATAGGGATGAAAAGTTAGGGGCAGGTGGACCCTGTGGGTGGGGCTCTTCAGGGACTTGCCCTGGATAGACCTTAAAGTCCCACCAGCAGAAGGAAGACTGGCCACTGGAAAAGTTACTGAGATCTATGGGTTGACGGAACTGTGGGTAACTTCCCCCCAACTGCAGTTGAAGACAGGCTGAATAATGGGTTGACGGAACTGTGGGTAACTTCCCCCCGACTGCAGTTGAAGACAGGCTGAATGGTCAGTGAGACTTGAGGAAAATGCACAAGTAACTCCTGCTATGAGGACACACAAATGGTTTCTGAGTCAGTTTAGTGACTGCTCACCTGTGCGGGTGTCACTGACGCTCTCCCCTTCTTCAGAGCCCTGGCGATCTGGGATCCGCAGCTCTGCCCTTCGCTCTACCCAAGAGATCCCATGAGCTTTGGAGACTGGAAATCCTGCACAGGGAGCAATTAACCAAGTGCTGATTGTGTTCATTACGGTCTGGGCCGTTATTGCTTGCACAGCCAGGGTCTGAGTCACCCATCCAGAGAGGCTCCTTCGCCACCTTGCACATACTGGGCTCTAGTTGGTACAAGATCCTAGGACATGCTCACCTGCAGTAAAGGTGCATCCCTCTCTCCCTTGCTGCCTTGGGAACGGCCCAGCTGATTCCCTGGGGAGCCGAGCACCCTACTGCACTCTCTGGGGTACAGCTACATCTCCCAGCGTGTTCTATCCCCCCCGTGCCAGGGCAGGACAGAACACAGTGCTCAGAAGGGGAGCTCTAGTGAGGGCTGGCAGGTCTGACACCGAGGCCCCCAGGCAGGGCTCAGACTGCAGCTGCCAAATGGCAGGTCACTAGGACTTGGAGGGAAAGGACCTAGCAGAGCTCTGGCCCCCCAAGGGCTCTGTCCACAAAGCTCCTGGCTGGGGGGCTCGGCTCGCCCTGCTCTTTGTCTCGGATGCTCTACCTAAACCAGGAGGCAAAGGAAGTTATCTGAGCAGCTCAGTGAATCCTTGGTGGCTGTTCCACACCCTGCGTACGCTCCCGACGTCTGCCTCCTGAGTCTGCCCCCTTGCTGAAGAACAGTCCCATTCCAGGTACCTTTGGTTGCCCTGGCACAACCAATCCCTGATCTTGCTTTAAATGATGGTCAGAAGAAGCTGCCGACAGAATGGGGTGGCCCTAGCGCTTACCGTTAAGAGGAGTTTTTGGACACAGACACAGCCTCTCTCAAATACACAGCAGATGAAAGATCTCTATGTATCATCCATTGTAACAATATCCAGCCTCTCTCTCATCATTCACGTGCCTGTATTAAGACTGTTTAAGTTTGTTAGTCAGACAAAACCCTCTGGTGATATCCAGGCACCTTTTACACTTGTGGGCCAGCTACACCAATGATCAGTTCATGGTAACAGACAAGCAAATGCTGAAGAACCTCGGGTCCAAATGTTTGGGTTACTGTAAGTGACTTGCCCAGGGTCTCACAGGAAGGCTGTGCTAGGGCAGGGAATTGAGCGCAGGTTTCCTAAGTGCAGGGCTTGAGATGCAAAAATTGCTCCCGTTTATCTGCTATGCACCTAACACTCTCTCCCCCCCACAAACACTCACAGAGCATGAACTTCCTCGTCCACCCTCCCTCAGTCCCAGCCCCTCTCACTAGTAGAAACCAGCATGTCACAGAGACCAGCCACAGCCAAGAAAGGACTCTGGGAAGCGCACCTCCATCCAGGGGTAAGCACCCTGGCACAAGGGGGACCCTGCTGGCACTGACAGCAGCTGGACTCAGCCCCACAACTCTGGTACTTGCCGTTCCTGCCTGGGCCCTTCCACTGACACCTCCGGCCAAGGCACAACATGGCTAAGATGGTGAGGAAGCAGAGAGATCTTGGCTGTGGGAAGGGCAGCACCACTGTTATGTCCCTGAACCTGCTTCCCCTGGGAGGAGGTGTGGATGGGACAATCTCTCACCCAAGAGCCAGGATTATTGGGGATGACACTCCTGACATTGGGAGTGGGGGCAATGAGGTACCCTGAACCAAACCCAGCCCAGCTGCTCTAGAGCTCACCCAGCTTCTGATACCCGAGGGGACAGGAGTCCTTACCTAGCCAGCTCACAGCCTCGTAATTCTCCTGCATCACATCCCAGTAGAGGGCTCTCTGGCCCGGATCCAGCAGAGCCCATTCCTCCTCAGAGAAATACACAGCCACCTCCTCGAAGGTCACCGGCTCTGCCACGGCCATTCCCTGACCCTGGCTCTGCAGTCCACGGGCTGAACTGGAGACAGACATGAGTATTCTGCAGCCTGTCGGGGGAGAAGGGCAACTGGAGACATTCCAGAAGAGGCTTTAATCCTTTCCACCCCCCATGCTACCCAGACTCGGTCCCTGGGGACACAAACGCTAGACTCCACAAATGCTTGCATCTCGATATTCTACACCACATGAGTTAGATCCCAAAGTCATATTCATTGTCCCAATACATGGCTTGAGTTTCAACACTGCTGTGCCTGCAACAATGGGATTCGGTTCTCAGCACCCAGCGATTCTGATAAACAAGCCGCACAGTCACCTGCCTGCACATGGAGGTAGGTGTGTTCGTTTAGGCTTCTGTATTTAAAGCCCCTATTCTTCCTCCATCCATTTGCAGCAAAGATCTAGGCCCACTCATAAGGACTAAACCAACAGAGATTAAGTGAAGTTAAGGTGACCATTCAGATGCTTAAAATTAAATGCACCTGCTGAATGTTTACAGGATGAGGTCCTAAGATTCATAGATTCACAGAATCCGGAGGAATCTTATTTCATGTACTTTGGTCTCATTTGTCACAGGCCACTGTATTTAACCCTGTTACCCCCATAACAAACCTTTATTTCCCCAAAGCATGTTTCCCAGAGTTGGGTTTGTAGTAAGGGAAAACCTGCCCATGCGGATTAGTGTATGCACAATGAAAGTAGGCCAGTCTATGTACAGGTACACTGAGGGAAACTGTCCCCCGGCCTGGCTCTCCACAGTCCCTGACACTAGAGACGGCTTCTGTGCAGCAGTCCTAGCTTCCACTCCCAGCTTGGGAAGGGACTATTTCTGGTTTGGCGTACTCTCTCCCCGCAGGGATGGCTTCGGTGTTCTCTGGAGCAGCAGGGAGAAGTCAGATAAGGGAGGTTGTATGCATGCACCATATGAAGTGGCCACATTGCAACTACTGCAGAGATGATACCATCATTAAGGAGTGAGGAACCTTTTTTGGTTTGGGGGTTACACATGTGAGAAGTTAAAAAAAACAAAACCCTCACTGAGGTGGCCCCTAGGTGTAAGGTTCCCCACCCCTGCTTCAGATTGAAATGTTTCAACTGCTCTTCTGTAACAGCTACACATGAGGGGCTGCACACTCAGACACAGATACTGGTGACAGCAAATTGCACCGTTTGCCCCAAATTGATATCAGAGCTCTCCAGCTGTTAATAACATTTTGCTTCACATCCGAGTCAGCATTCCAGTCTCTGTCTTCACAGCTCAGAAAATGTCTGTTTTACCAGCAACTAATGAGCTCTAGCTATTCACCTGTAACAAAAGCCAAATCTGGCCAGGTCAGCACCATGCCAGGCACCCAACTAATGTAGAGGATTATTCATTTTAAAAATGCTGGATTTTGGCAACACAGAATAGTAGCATTGTTAGAATAAAGACCACCAGTGAAATGTGTAACAACAACAGATGTAGCCTGTAGGGATGTTACATTGCGTTTAATCAGCTAATTGAGTAATTGATGGAATTTCCATCGACTACTTGATAAAGGGGCAAACTGTAGACCTAGCCCTGGGAGCTAATCCTGCTGCAGCTCTGCCTTTCAAATGAAGTAAGAGCTGGCTCTTATTCTGTTTAAAAAGCAGAGGCATAGTGGGAGATGGGAGAACCTATTTCTTTCTACCTCCCCTGTGGAGACAGTACTGGGAGGAACCAGCTTTTAAGCTGCTCCTCATAACACCAGCTCCTGGCCCTCCTCCCCGTTGTTGCTTCTGATGACAATCCCCTGACACAAGTCACAACCCCCTCCTTCACCCAAACACCCTCTCAGACCTCACACCTGCTCCTGCACCCTAACCCACTACCCAGTGCGCCCTTCTGCACCCGGACTCCTTCACAGACCCCACATCCCCCTCCACAGAAACGTGCGGCTGTTGACCACTTTCCAAAATCTTGGAGAGGCCTCTGACCAAAAATCACTGCTCATCCCTGAGCTAGTTCATCCCTGACAGGTGTCTGTCTAACCGGCACTTCAATATCATAGAATCATAGAATAATA